ACATTCTCTGGACAGTTGGCAAGCGTAGCAAGCATGGGGTGCAGCCCGCTAGCATTACAAAAAAGCAGCTTTGTGATCTTATGCAAATGAAAAAGCAAAGAAAGAAAAAAGAAGTAGCCTAGCTTCCAGTCTGAGTTGTCGTTCAAATCACTCTCTTACAGCTAAATTGTACATGTTTAGATCTCCTGAACCTCTATAGATAAAGCGAGGGGAATATTTTGTTTAGAAAATTATTTTATATTTATAGCATTCTTCCCCTCCCCCAAATTTAACATTAAATCAGTAACACATAAGAGTTTTAATAGTTAAATATAGAATATGGATGCCGAAAATGCATAGGGAAGTTGAAATTTTATCAGAAAAAAACAAACAAAAAACTTAGCTTCACTAGACATAGCATGATAAAATATGTTCTATGTAGGTAACTAGATCCAAACATTTCTCAAAGGTTAATGACTATAATGTCTATTGTATATATATTGTTCATTTCCAAATTTGGGTTCTCATTTTCTTACAAATATTTGAATCTAGTAGTCCAAAACCCCGAAGAAAGTGTAGGCAATGTAAGAATTATTGCCTACACTCTTTTTTGTGTGTATATAAGATATAGCCTAGTACACTTTACAGTCACGAGTTAATGCTCAATGGCGGTAGTAATTTTTGAAGTTTAATATCCAAGGCCTCAGTCCTGCAAAGTGTTTCATGGAGGTAGACCAGGAGTGAGCAATAATTTTTGATAGAAGGACACACCAAGCATTTGATAAGTGGTCAGAGGCTTCTCTTTTTTACAATATTAATGAAGGGGGTGCAAGGTCTTTGGGTACAGAAGGGAGCTCTGGGTAGGGGATTGGGGTGTGTTGAGAGGCAGGCCCTCCTTGTGCAGACTCCCACAGTCAAAATCCCTCCACAGGTTTGCTCATCAGGATCTGCATGGCCCAATGGCCAGAGTCTGAGTCTCAGATTCCCCCTTATGGGGTTAGTGCAGCTCAGCAGCCTAAGTCCCTATAGTGCTCCCCTCCCCCCTTATCAGGGTCACTATGGTTTAGAGGCCCAGTCTTAGTAACACTCCCGTCTACTGGGGTAAATATGGCCCAGAGGCCTAGTGCTTATGATGCCCCTCTATCGGGGTCAATATGGCCTTGCAGCCCAATTTCTGAAGTTGCCTCCCCCCGCTTGGAGTAAATACAGCCCTGGAACCTAGTCCTTGCAACGCTCTCTTCTATGGGGTAAATATGGCCCTGAGGCCTAGTGCACAGGCTTCAGGAACTACCTCTGCTTCGGAGAACTGCAGAGCCTCAGTGTTGTCAGAATCTCTTCAATAACAGTAAACTATAACTTTATGAAACGAAGCAGGAGATTAATTTTTCACGAGAGTTTCTACACAATCTCTCCGAATTAAAAATGAATATATTTAAAGAGGATTTTTTTAGTGGCTCCTCCATTTACAACTGTGTTCAGTTAAAGCTAACAATAAGCATGATTTCTGAATTTATATGAAAAGCAAAGAAAAAAATCTTGGTATTGAAAAGGTGAAAAGCAGTTACGGAGCATAAGTTTTAATTTTCATTATTTTACAAAAATTGCATTAGTCTTACCTTCTGTGTTATTTTAAAGTAGTTGCATATATCTCAACTTGATAACATGCCAAGAAAATTTAGCAAAAATTAGCTCATCATATAGTTAATTCAAAACGGTTTTATATATTTATCAGATAGTTTTAAAAATTTGAATAGCGTTTAAGATCTAAAATAGAAAAGTTATTTGTGTTCAAAATTAAATGTTCCATGAATAAGGTATCATCCACTACTGGGTAATCATAATTACTGTTCACTTATGGGGAGTACAGCTATTGGGTTACTATGAGATAGCCACTCCACGTGCTATATATTGTAAATATCAGGTCATATAGTATACCTCTCCTTTTATGTTCCTGTGAAAGTTAACCACTGGTCCAATTTTTGAAGCTCCTATATCTTATCATAGTGTTTACCCAGGTTATAATTCTACATCTGGAATCTAGATACTTGCATGAATGCTGGGTTTGCAATTTTTGTATGCTCAGACATCTACTGAAGTCCATTCACTTGTGTACAACATTCATGAGGGAGAAATCAGTAACAGCTGAGGATACAACAGGTCAAGGATCCAGCTAGACTATAGATGCTGATAGAATTTATGCAGTGTTATTCTGAGAGGGCATGGGGCTAGCGTTGTTGTACAGTGGTATTTTCTCTCTCTATATATAGATAAAAAAGTTTGTCCTGCCAGGTAACAGAATGATGTCAACACATTCTCTGGACAGTTGGCAAGCGTAGCAAGCATGGGGTGCAGCCCGCTAGCATTACAAAAAAGCAGCTTTGTGATCTTATGCAAATGAAAAAGCAAAGAAAGAAAAAAGAAGTAGCCTAGCTTCCAGTCTGAGTTGTCGTTCAAATCACTCTCTTACAGCTAAATTGTACATGTTTAGATCTCCTGAACCTCTATAGATAAAGCGAGGGGAATATTTTGTTTAGAAAATTATTTTATATTTATAGCATTCTTCCCCTCCCCCAAATTTAACATTAAATCAGTAACACATAAGAGTTTTAATAGTTAAATATAGAATATGGATGCCGAAAATGCATAGGGAAGTTGAAATTTTATCAGAAAAAAACAAACAAAAAACTTAGCTTCACTAGACATAGCATGATAAAATATGTTCTATGTAGGTAACTAGATCCAAACATTTCTCAAAGGTTAATGACTATAATGTCTATTGTATTTATATTGTTCATTTCCAAATTTGGCTTCTCATTTTCTTACAAATATTTGAATCTAGTAGTCCAAAACCCCGAAGAAAGTGTAGGCAATGTAAGAATTATTGCCTACACTCTTTTTTGTGTGTATATAAGATATAGCCTAGTACACTTTACAGTCACGAGTTAATGCTCAATGGCGGTAGTAATTTTTGAAGTTTAATATCCAAGGCCTCAGTCCTGCAAAGTGTTTCATGGAGGTAGACCAGGAGTGAGCAATAATTTTTGATAGAAGGACACACCAAGCATTTGATAAGTGGTCAGAGGCTTCTCTTTTTTACAATATTAATGAAGGGGGTGCAAGGTCTTTGGGTACAGAAGGGAGCTCTGGGTAGGGGATTGGGGTGTGTTGAGAGGCAGGCCCTCCTTGTGCAGACTCCCACAGTCAAAATCCCTCCACAGGTTTGCTCATCAGGATCTGCATGGCCCAATGGCCAGAGTCTGAGTCTCAGATTCCCCCTTATGGGGTTAGTGCAGCTCAGCAGCCTAAGTCCCTATAGTGCTCCCCTCCCCCCTTATCAGGGTCACTATGGTTTAGAGGCCCAGTCTTAGTAACACTCCCGTCTACTGGGGTAAATATGGCCCAGAGGCCTAGTGCTTATGATGCCCCTCTATCGGGGTCAATATGGCCTTGCAGCCCAATTTCTGAAGTTGCCTCCCCCCGCTTGGAGTAAATACAGCCCTGGAACCTAGTCCTTGCAACGCTCTCTTCTATGGGGTAAATATGGCCCTGAGGCCTAGTGCACAGGCTTCAGGAACTACCTCTGCTTCGGAGAACTGCAGAGGGGGAGGATAGGGGGACCCAGGCCCTCCCACTCCACCAGGTCCCAGCCCAGGGCCCTATGGCCAGGAGCTCAGTTCACTGCTTGCTCAGCAGGGGTTCCCTCCCTGCAACACACTGAGCTCTTGGGGTTGCAATTCCCTGCCCTGGGCCACTCCCTACTACCCCACACATCTCCCCGTTGCCATACCCCCAGACTGTTTCCAGGGCTGAGCTGTCATTGCGGCTGCTGTTGCTGGGTCTGTAGTGGCGGCTGCTCTTCCAGCTCTGGAGCTGGCTCAGTAGGTCCTTCCCTTTTGGTGGTCAGCCCTGAGTGAGCTGTCTCAGGGCCTTTTATAATCCAGCTCACCTGTAAGCATGCTGGGCAAGGCCATGGGGGAAGAATGCTTTCAGCGAGCTGGGCCCAGCCCTGGCCCTGCACTGTAGAACAGACTGGGCACCCCGTCACAGGGTGCATGAGTAGGTGAGAGTTCTGGGAGTTTGCATTCAGGAGGGGGCTGAAGGCATGCAGGAAGGAGTGAGTCAGAGAGTGAGTTTGGTTGAAAGAGAGAATGAGTTTGGATGAACAGCATTAAACCTAGTCTCTCAAGTATACTCATTAAAACATACCTTAAGTATTTAAAAGCTCTAAGGGAACTTAAAACTATCAGCTGTAAATTGCTAAACAACAGAGTTCCCTGCTTCTCACTGTGCAAATCTATATTTCCACGGTCAACTTACCTCCCATTAGCAGAAATATCTTCAGAGGGAGCTGCCAAGTGGTCCATATAAGAGTCAGATCTTCACAATGGTAAGAAAAGGAAAACATGGGACATCTGGCCTCTTTTACAATCTGCAGGATCACTTGAGAAGTGATCTTATCAACCAAAAAATAATATCAATCTGAGCCCAGCATTCTGACATCAACAGCAGAATCTTAACCAAATAAACCCAACCTAGGTCCCCATTACTAGTGGTTTGATATTCCAAACTCAGTCTTCAGTTTAGGAAAGGTGCCAGGAATCAAATCCCACACTCCCCCTTGAGGAAACTTTTGCTGCTATTCATGAATGTGCACATTTTGTAATGTATCTACAATCATTGGGGGAAAAAACTGTTGTGTTAAATAAGAGACCTCTGTATTATGCTTTGCATTAAAATGAGATGTTAACATTTTTCAACTTAATGACAAAATGTAAGCTATCAGGGAGAATTTTTGAGTTAGTCATGGCATGAATGTTTCAGAAAAGGCAACATTATAGTAAATTTCAAAAGACAAAACACCTTATACAACAGTTACTTTCAAGGCAGGAATCAATCTAAATATTAAATTCTTATTTATGTAAACAGAATATTGGGTTTAAGATAAAAACCATAATTGACACACAAGTGCCTAGCAATGGGAACAAATCTGGAACCTCCGTTTTTAAAAATAATCTATTTTCTTTTTGATTGCATTTAATGATTAGGACCCCCTGAAAGAAAAGTATATTTTTGAAACCTGTAAAAGGTTTGAGCTATAGAACCATGGTCAATCATATTCCAATACTCAAGCCATAAAACAGTAAATGTTAATAAATATCTACAATATTTAATAAAGATGCTTAAACCAAGACAACACATGTCCTCTAAGTTCAGCACTTAAAATAAAGTGAATAAGTATACATTATTTAATTTGCTCTCATCCAGAGAACAGAATCAACTTCTTCCTCTTAAATTCTTTGCAATTCTGTCAGTGACATGAAATTTAGTTATCTATTGAAGACAAAAGACTTAAATGCACCATTAAACCATTTCTGCATGTGGGGAAAGGAGATACCTTACATGAAACCACATGGATCAAAGGAAAGTAAGAACTATCTTCATATTTAACCATTTAATATTAAGTCATGTATACTCTATTAGTACAAATCAATGCTTCTTTTGGAGTCTGGATTAGTAAATATATATTTTTAAAAAACAAACTAGTATCAAGAAGTTATTCTCATAATATTTCCCATGAATTCTTTGGTGCCATATGGTCTTAAGAAGTAAAGTATAAAAGGAAAGCAAATAGTTACAAGTAACTTAATAAATGGTACACCGATAAATATACAGAAATTAAAAAGCAAACATGATGAAATAATTACTTCCACTTTTACCTTAGCACAGAAGACTGTAAACTAGATTTACAAATATCTTAACATTTCTCGGCTCTCTAACGAAAAACTGAAACTAAAACATATTAAAATACCAGTAATTTCATATGACAATGTTATCACTTTTGATTATTATGTATCGTCTGCAGTCATATTTTAAGAAGAGTGATCATGTTCATAAATTGCTCATACAAAGAAGAGCAATACTAGCTGTATCCCTATATGAAATTATTTTAAGTTTGTGTCTCTTGAAGATATTTTTGAAGTGAGTATGAAAGCAGAAACTCATGTCAGTTTTCAGAAAATGTTTATAGGGCGTAGTGGAAAATGGTTAATTTTCTTCTTGCAGCATTTCCTCTATTTCTTTGTCCCAGTTATCATCCCGTTTTTCTGATTCTGTCACCACTTCATACTCTTGAAGTTCTTGCTGTAATTCCTTTTCCCAATCAGCAACTTCTTCTGCAAGGAAGACAAATGATATATAACATTTGGCAGTACAGAATGTTGCTTATGTATAACTAGATAATTTTCATTGAGTATCTCTCTTGCATTCCAGAGTTTGGAAGCTCAGAAGTTTAATCTCTGGAACAACCGTGGATGAAAAACTAATATACAAAAAGGGGTGCCCCCAGAGTTGATGATGATAAACTATTGATATAACAACAATACACAAATATATTTGATGTTTTCTGCATCTCAGTGTAACCCCAAAATGTCTACCTGTAACCAAAGACAAGCTGATTTTTTAAACAATCCATAAACTGTGCATTCAAATCTTCTTCTCTATTATCAGCTCCTTCCAACTTTTTCTTTCCTGTGCTATCTGGAAAATGCTACACACCTTATAATTAAGGTTGACCAATTATCAAGTATTATCAGCTTATGGAATTCATTGGCTTCGAAGATCAAAATCCAATACTAGGGGTAATTGAAGATGGGATGGACAATTTTCTTCCATTAAGATATACAGCTAAGTATGTATAATATTATAAGAGATAAAAATAATTAATGCTTATACTTCAGGGCAAGAGTGCAGACAGAAGTCATTCCTGTGCTGCTACCCTCTCTTCAAATTAATGAGGTCAGTAAAGTCAAGGAGGCTGGAGTAGAGGGTGGCATTTGAAATATCAGGTACTGGCCGGTGCTGGAGTCCAGATATCACAGCAGGTAATTCCACACTCTCATCCGGTATTGTGGGTTAGCATTTCTACTAAATACACTACATACTGATAGCTCCATTAAAACTTCTGAGCAAGAATTTCAGTCAATTCAGGAAAATGTATAGGAGTGGAATTTTAAGGTTAAAGCTACAAACTATTATTGAAGATAAGTCAGATTTGGGGTAGCATAATCTTGCAAATGACAGTGATTTCAGATTTATATTCACAGCATATGAACACTTGGACTACAGTTCTACTCTGAAAAGAAATTCTATAAAAATGGTTGATTATTTTATTGTGGTATATTCAAAGTCTTATTTATTAAGACTGAACTTTTCTGCTTTTTACTTCCATTAACTTAACAGAGCTATGCTAAGACAAACAAACTCTATTTCTTCCTATTATTCATTATCAAATTATTTAGCAAGTTCTGATTAGTTAAATTTCCATAATGCTATTTAGTGAACAGGTATTACTGAAGCCATAATCTGGATCGTAAAATCTTTACTTTTGAAAGTGATTCACAATAAGGAAAATGCAGCTTGACTTTCAGATTCCACACTCGGGTTTTCCAGAACTGCAGTACACCATAAACTTTTACTTACAATTAAGTATGTGAAATGGGAATTTAAAAAAAATGAGAATCCCCTGTCATTTTCAGTCATTTTTTCGTAACAGAACTTCTCAAAGTTGTTTGTTTCTTCAGAATATTTTTGTAACTGGGCCTTCCAGAAATGAATAACCATGAAAAACTATGTACTTATCAACTGTGTATTATGGTCCCACTATGATTTTTTGACTTGCCTGTCAAAAGTTACTCAGAGTAGAATTTCACAAATCAAATTATTCTGTTACTCCAAGTCTAGCAAATCCTTATAATCACCTTTTGAAGTTCAGTAAACGTCTACATATTTTTAAATACCCACAAGGAATGTAGTCAAATATATAAACAGATATTTACTTTATTAATTTTCATTTTGTTTTACCTTCTACTTTGGAAGTCTCCTTTTCCTTTTTGTCAAGCACTAATTGTTCCATTTCCTTCCTTAGGTCTTCCTGGTTCAGGTTACATGCATCAAAAGCATCACTAACAAATTCTGATACACCTGGACTAGTGGAAATCTCTTCTTCATCCTTGAAAAAAAAAAAAAAAAAAAAAAAAGAAAAAAGATTTTGGTAATTCAGAAAGGAAATTACACTTGATAATAATTACTCTATGTGAACTTCTCTTTTGTAGCTAAATATTGTCCAATACCAGTGGGGGAAAAAAATCTATTTGGTCAATTACCATATCTTTCCAAACAGAAAAGAATACAGTATACATTTTGAAGTGACTATTTTACATGTGATATTTCTTTATTTTTCTGTTAAGAGTAGCAATTCAGTTTAGTAATATCCAAAAACAGTGAACAAACTTAAGGTAATTTAGTAGTAAGAAGAATATTTATATTAATTGTAGGGGCAGTTAAAAAAATTAAAGACTAGCCATCAGAGGATGAGAGTTACAGTAGGACTGATCACTTGAAATCTCTCCCCTGGTTTAGTTAACAGAATGGAATTTATTGGTCTCATTTCTTTGACGTTCCATACCACAATAAAGAAAAAGCTATAGCTGCACTGCCGAATTTGATGTTAAAAATTGAATGTTTTGGTTATTCATCTGTACAGTAAGCTAGTCTACAGTATGAAGATATATGACAATATCTACAAAACTACCAACCTATATTTAAAATAAATGTTACTAGTGGTATATTAAATGCTATTACTGCTTAGCAAATTTATGGGTCCAACTCTGTGTGAAAGAGTTCTCTGGCACCAATATTACAATTCAAGATTAAGAATAATTTCTTTAAATATCCAAGTTTATGATTTCAGCAGTGACAAGCAAAATAATCACAAAACGGTGTCATAATGATAATGCAATTTAGACTGGCTATACCAGTGTTTCTTAAACTTTTGAAGACTGAAGAATACCAAACAATTTTTTTTTTAAATGAGGAACACCAAGGATAAAAAAAAAAAAAAAAAAAGGTTGAAAGGTTGCCTTGTGGCACACTGGTGTGCCGCGGAAAACAGTTTAAGCAACACTGGCCTACATCCTCAATCTTCAGAAATATAAATGTACAAATATTTTATGAAGCAAACCTACTATCTCTAAACATAAAAAAACCTTCAGACACTGAACTTCAGATGTAGTATATAACCACTGTTACCTCTTGAGGTTTTAGCTGAGATTTGATTGCAACAGGTGGTGTTTTAGGCCGTACTGTTTCTAGGAAGAGAGAAAAAAAGAGAAAATTGCTGTCCGTCTTTATCTATAAAAATTTTTTTTTCCCTGCAGCATGACAGAATGAAGTCATCTGCATCCTCATGCTGCCGCCGCCTGCCTCTGTCCTAAACCACTTGCTGTGGCCAGCCTCGGCACCGTCCACTCTGGGCATAAGCTGCTCCACCTCTGGCTTCATGCCTCAGGAGGCTGTGCCACCAGGGAGGAGCTGCTGCTGCTGGGGCTGGGTCCCTTCCGCCATCTGAGCCCAACCCCCTTGTGTCCCCTGGGGGAGCCACCACCGTAGCCACACACAGGTGAGAGGGTCCTCGCCTGGTGCAATCACCCGATGGCACTGTGGGCTTGGCCTGGGCAGGGCAAGGGTGCCAGAGTGGGCTGTATGGGCCCAGAAGCAGCAGAGTCCATCCTGTAAAGGCTGCTCTACCAAACTACTCAGGCACTCTGGAAACACCTTGGCTATCTCCGGAAACACCAGATAGGGAGCCAAGGCAGCATGACCCCGCTCAGTAAGCTTTGGGAATGGGGAGGGGCAGAGCCTTGTCAACCTCGGAAATGAGGGAGGGCAGAGCCACATATGAGGCAGAGGGTAGATGGAGCCTGACTGCCCAGAAAAGGTGAAGGTCTGGGTGGGGTTGCTACAACCCCAGCACAGGCATGCATGCCCCTGCTGTGTATGGTGCTTCCTGCACCCTGACCCTGCTCACCCAAGCCCTGGGGCAGCAGTGAATCCGTTCCTGCCTTGGGTGCCCCGGGGGGGGAGGGGGGGGGTTAAAACGTGTCTGCAGCAGGATGTGGTCAAGGTATGGGAAACAGGCAACCCAATGTGTGCCTGCTTATTCATTGGTGTGTGTAGTTGGAATGCCCAGGGGGCTGTCTGCTGGCAGCATGACGTAGTCCTAATCTGTTCAGTCTCTCTTTTCACATAACCTTTCTGGGTGGCTAATAATTTTCACTGCCTGGCTTGCAAATCTTTCCATGTCTGCTACATCTTTTTGGAGGTACGGTGACCAAAAGTGAACACAGCTAGCACTGCAGATGACAGCAAACTCACAACTTATAGAATAGCATGAAAACTGAGGTTCTCAATTAATCGTAGTTAGCTCAAGTGATTAATGCATAACAAATTAGCTAGATTTTAATAAACAGCAGTAGGCGGTGCATCAACTATGGTGCTGAGAGCCGCACAAAAGCAAGCATGTGACTCCCACCCCACCAGCTGAAACCCTGCATTCCCAGTTTGCTTACTTATACCCCCCACAAGCTAAGACCCCACACCTCTAGTCCCATCACATTCCGCCCTGCCGAGATCCTGCACCCCCAGCTGCCTCACTCACTGCCCTGCCAAGACCCCGCACCCTTTGTCCCGTCATACTCCACCCTGCTGAGACGCCAAAGCCCAGCCCCCTCACACACCGCTCTGCTAAGATCTTGCACCCCCAACCCTCTTAGTCACCCTCTCCATTGAGACCCCGCACCACCAGCCCTCTCACTCCTAACCCCCCCAGCTGAGACCCCACATTCCCACCCCACTCACTCACCACCCTGCTGAGATACCACACCCTCCGCTCCCTCACACGCTACCCTGCCAAAACCCCACATCCTTATCCCCTTCACTCATACTCGGCCAGCCAAGACCCTTCACCCCCAGCCCCCTCACTCATCCCTTCCACCGAGACCCCACACCCCCCAGCCCACTCCTGCCCCCTCTCCCCTGGCCAGACACCTATCCCGAGGGGGGTTGGTGTTGGCGAGCACATCAAGCAGGGAGTGCAGTCCTCTAGTATTTTATTATACTTAAATATCCTCAGAACTAATTTAAATTATGCAAGTATTAACTATGCAAAGATATTTTGTATTTAAGGGGATACATTATACAGTATTTGAATCTTTAAGGTCAGTTACGGGTGAAATGTTTGCAAAGTAAGAACTAACCAGATAATGTAATGTTTTTGTCTACACTGATTCTATTTTAAAGAAAAATTGAAGATAAAATTATGTTAGCAATTGTATCCTTAGAATTCCAGACTAAGGAAACACTGGTCAAGTCAAACTAAACAAATCCATATCAATAAATAAGTCAACTAAATCGATAAATATCTGGATGAAGCTTCAGGGTTGGTGCTTTTCATCACAAGGTCAGTCAGAAGGTAAGATCCAAAGTCTCCTTTTCTGAGAGGATCTTGAATTTGGGGGGCACCCTAAATATAATGTAATACCAAATGTAACAAATGAATGTAAAGAATAATGAGAAGGAAAAGGAAACACAGGACAAGAGAGACAGCAGTAACAATGAACATTTATGGAAGCCAGCAAGGTCTGTAGCTAGATGTTTTGAAACTTTTTAAAAATAAAACTGTGACCTGAAAAAAATATCATCAACATATTAGAAGTTTTTATGAGACTATCTTCCCAGCTGTTATCAGTTGTAGTTTCCAACAGGCATCATTATAGAAAGGAGATGTGAGGAAGATGAAAGAATACAGTAGTTTCACAGAGTAATTTAAGGGGATATTCCATACATTAGCACATAAGACACTGGGTCAGACCAAAGGTCCATCTAGCCCAATATCCGGTCTTCCGACAGTTGCCAACGCTAGATGACCCAAAGGGAATGAACAGAACAGGGAATCTTCAAGCAGTTCCTCTCCCATCACTGATTCCCTGCCTCTGTCAGAGGCGAGGGACACCATCCCTATCCATCCTGGCTAATAGCCATGAATGTATCTAGTTCTTTCTTGAACCCTGTTAAAGTCCTGGTCTTCACAACCTCTTCTGGCAAGGAGTTTCACAGGTTGACTGTGCACTGAGTGAAGAAAAAACTTCCTTTTGTTTGTTTTAAACTTGCTGCCTATTAATTTCATTTGGTGACCCCTATTCTCAAGAGAGAGATCTTTGAGTCATTGTGGATAGTTCTCTGAAAATATCCACTTTTCCTTATTCACTTTTTCCACATCAGTCATAATTTTATAAACTTCAATCATATCCCCCTTTTGTCTCCTCTTGTCCAAGTTGAAAAGTCCGAATCTTTTTAATCCCTCTTCATATGGAACCCATTCCAAACCCCTAATCATTTTTGTTGCCCTTTTCTGAACTTTCTCCAGTGCCAATATATCTTTTTTGCGATGAAGCAACCACATCTGTATGCAGTATTCAAGATATGGGCATACCATGTTTGTATATGGAGGCAATAAGATGTTCTCTGTCTTATTCTCTACCCCTTTTTTAATGATTCCTAACATTCTGTTTGCTTTTTTGACTGCCACTGCGCACTGAGTGGATGTTTTCAGAGAACTATCCACAATGACTCAAAGATCTCTCTCTTGAGAATAGTTATAGCTCAATTAGTCCCCATCATATTGTATGTATAGTTGGGATTATTTTTTCCAATGTGCATTACTTTGAAATTTAATGTTGGTAAATGTATTTGCCATTTTGTTGCCTAATCACTTAATTTTGTGAGATCTTTCTAAAGCTCTTCACAGTCTGCTTTGGTCTTAACCATCCTGAGCAGTTTAGCATCATATAAGGATGATACATTTAGATTAATCAATTAATCAAATAGTCAATAAGGGCAGCTCTGCTTGCCAGCTCCTGCTACATTTCAAAGGTGGATGCACTGTGGGGAGCACGGGGCCAACGAGGGACTGAAGCAGTCCCCCACTGCCCCCAAGCTTCCTGCTTTTGAAATGTACATGGAGTTCCCCTGCTGGCCCCTTCTCCCTGCATGCACTTTACTTTTGAAATGTACAAGAGCCCCCTCTGGGGCTCTTGTACATTTCAAAAGCAGGAAGCACAGACCAGCGGGGACTGCTTGAGCGTCCCGCTTGCCTCCTGCTCCCATAGCTGTGCTCTTGCTACATTTAAAAGGTGGAAGCGCTGCCAGTTCTCTGCTGCACCCCTGCCCCTACTCATGGAAATGGTGCTGGGGGGAAACCGGCTTTTAAGTCAGCGTCCCCTAGCATTGTCTCCTGCTCTCCCCTTGCTGCCTCCCTCTGATGAAGGCAGTGGGGATTTCAAGTGATCAGTGGGAGTGGGGGGAAGTGATTAGTCGAGTCACTCTTACATCCCTACTATCATCTGCATATTTTGACACTCTGAGTTCACCCCTTTCTTAATCAAACAATTTGAAAACAAAAATAAAGTATTTCCTGAAAAAAAGCAAATGTCAGCAGAATCGGAAAACCATTAAAAATAGGAAAATATGTTGATAAACCACAAAGTTAACAGAACTGAATGGAATATGGAACATGGAACACTAGAACTGGAAGGGATCTTGAGAGATTATCAAGTCCAGTCCCCTGCCCTCATGGCAGGAGCAAGCATTGTCTAGATCGGGGTGACAAAGGGGCCTCAGTGGACCAGATCCGGCCCTCCAAGCTGGTGGATCCGGCCCGCAGCCACTCTGCCACTCCCTCAACTCCAGGCCAATCAAGACCTGGGGATGGGAGTATGCATGAAGTCTTCTCCCCTGCTAGGGGCGAGTGGCATCAGAAGGAACAGTCAGCAGCTCTCTCTAGCCACTGCATGCCCCTGGCATGGCGGGAGCAGGCTGCAAGAGACTGATTGGACTGGGGGTGGTGGGAGCACACAAAGTCTCCTCCCTCCATCAGGGGTGCCCTGCATCAGGGGGAACAGCCAACTATTTTAAAACAGTTGGTGATTCTCTTTAGCTGCCAGGTGGGGGGGGAAGTGGGGCAAGACATCATGCACTCCCCCACCCTAAGGCTAATCAGGGTCTGTGGGTGGGGGAGCACTTGAAGTCTTCAGGTTCCGCCCCTTCCATCTGAGGCCATGCACCTTCAGAGGTGGCACAGGGCCTCTGCAGAAATTTGTGAAGTGGCCCCCCTTTTAAAAATTATTGCCTACCTGTGGTCTAGATCATCCCTGATAGATATCTATCCAACCAGCTCTTAAATATCTCCAGTGACGGAGATTCCACAACCTCCCTAGACAATTTATACCAGTGTTTAACCACCCTGACAGTTGGAAAATTTTTCCTAATGTCCAACCTAAAACTCCCTTGCTGCAATTTAAGCCCATTACTTTTTGTCCTATCATCAGAGGCCAAGGAGAACAATTTTTCTCCCTCCTCCTTGGAGCATCCTTTTATATACTTGAAAAGCGCTATCATGTCCCCTCTCAGTCTTCTCTCTTCTAAACTAAACAAGCCCAATTCTTTCAGTCTTCCCTCAGACGTCATGTTTTCTAGACCTTTAATCATTTTGTTGCTCCTCTCTGGACCTTCCACAATTTCTCCATATCTTTCTTGAAATGTAATGCCCAGAACTGGACACAATACTCCACTGAGGCCTAATCAGTGCAGAGTACAGCAGAAGAATTACTTCTTGTGTCTTGCTCACAACACTCCTGTTAATGGATCCCAGAATCATGCTTGCTTTTTTTTTTTTTGCAACTGTATCACACTGTTGACTTATATTTAGCTTGTGTCCACTATGACCTCTTTCTGCATTACTCCTTCTTAGACAGTCACTTCCCATTCTGTGTGTGTGAAATAGATTGTTACTTCCTTTGCATTTGTCCCTGTTAAACTTCTTCCTGTTTACCTCAGACCATTTTTCTAGTTTGTCCAGATCATTTTGAATTATGACCCTATCCTCTAAAACACTTGCAAGCCCTCCCAGCTACGTATCCTCTGCAAACATAATATGCATTCTCTCTATGCCATCATCTAAATCGTTGATGAAGATATTGAACAGAACTTGGTCCCAAAACAGACCCTGAAGAACCCCACTTATTATGCCCTTCCAGTATGAAGTTTAATACTTCAAGCTAACTTTTCAAACTGAGCACATGTTAATGATGTATCTATACTTGGATCAAATTCTACAACTGCACTCATTTGATGTAAACATTCACTGTAAGTATTGTCCTCATTTCTATATATAAGTAGAGAGAGAGTCAGTAGATTAGATAAACTTAGAGAGTTTTGCATTTTTTAAGAGGGACCTGTTTCTGAAACTCTTTTACAAGAAGCCTCCTCTATACAGTACATGTAAATTGTACACGTAAGAAACGTATAGGTCATCTGATGCATACAGATACTAAGAAGTATGACAGTAGTTCTATTTTTCATAGTAAGCTGCTTATTAAAAATATATATATACTTTCTGTACCTGTCAGCTGAATATCCTCTTTCCTGCTCGTGTTCTCCTCCTTTCCTACAACTTGTTGTTGAGCAGCCAAAGCAGTGAGCTGTGCCGACTGTTTAATTAGGGAGACCCGGTAGAAATAATTTCTCCAAAACACCTCCTCTTTTACACTGAAGGAACATACAAATATAAGTGTTCATGACTACATAACTCTAACAACTACATTTGATTAGTGAAAAGTTTACAGCTAATCACAAGCCAGGTAGAAAGAACACTGAGATAAAGTTAAACTTATAGCCACAGCTTACAGGAGTAAGGGCAGAGTTTTGTTTCCACCTTCTCATATGAGTATTCGGAAATCTAACTTTCACTTAAGAGTTCCCTGACTTATGGACACACAGTTTAAAAAACCCACCACAGTAGTCTCCCTGTCTCTTAAATTTACCACCTAACTCCAGTTTAACAGTAGATTTTCTTAGGGTACGTCTACACAGCAACATTATTTTGAAATAACTTGCATTTTTCAAAATAACAAGCACTTTTTATAATGTTAAATTTTTTTTACAACTGTTTCAATGAGAAGCTCTAGTGATCCCTACGCTTTGAAGCAGGAACTTGAATAGGGGGTGGCCATTATGTCATAGATGTGCCTTTTGCTGTTCCTATGAAAATCCACCCTAATTTGGACAAGATACAAGCCTTTGAAAAATTTTAATTTGCACAAAGTAGAGACTTGTTAGAGCTTCAGAGCTAAAACCTTCAAAGAATCCATCTGCAATGACTATGCTTAAGCTGTGTGTGACTGAATGTGCTCTCTCCCACAGAGTTACTTAGTATATTCCAGACCAAGGATCCAAGCATTCAGCAAGACTTCTCTTGAAATTGTAGCTCTGGCTGCTGCATTCTGTGCACCAGCATGGAGAGCAGGAAGACTCTCTCCTGTGTCTCAAGGACACCCCCATGCCTACTCACAGCATTGAAGAAGAAGGTGCCTGACTTGAATGCAGACAGGACAAGAGGCAGACAAAGTGGGCTGGGGTCAATGTTGGGACTTTTTAAGGAAGCAGATTGGGAATTGGAGCCACCAAGGAAAATGGGGTACTGAGTCTGGAAGAGCAGCTGGAGAGACTGGGACTGGTTGGAAAGCAATTTAGGTCTGGGAACCAGTACAGTGCAAGAGAATAGGAGATGGAGAGCAGATCTGATGAGATACTAGGAGTTCATGGACAAGCAGCTAAGGGATATACATGTTGGTAGGAGGAAGGGGGACTGGAATTGGATAAAGAGCTTGAAAGCTGGGTGGGAACTGGGATGGACGAGGCAATAACAGTAGGAACAGTGGAGAGACTGGGACTCAGAGGCAGAGTATCCAGTGGGAGACTAGCTGGGCTAGATAACCAGAACTGTGATGAAAAGCTTAAGAAGCTAAAGAGCCCAGAGTGGGGGAAAGACCGGACTGGAACAAGCTGGAGGGGATGGTTCAAAAGGGGTTAAGCTTAGAAGAAACAGGCCAACGGATGAGTAACCAGTAGAGAGCATGCCTCCTGGAATGAAATGCAAGATTCTTGAGTCATGCTATTCATCTGCACTCACCAAATATTTGGCAAAGTGTCTCATACCGTCTAGAGCTGGCCCACAGAGGAGGATAGCCTACTACAGCTATCAGTTACTTTGTTAACTGAAGTGGCAAACATCAGCGTGGTAGATCTACAAGTTCCAACCCTGCTGATGATTCATTTGGATGTCAATATGATGCCATTTCTATTTCTTCAGTTAGCTTTTATAAAAGCTAGGAAATTACAGACAACCCCTCCACCCGATGTTAAAAGAACAATGGTTACTAAATCAAGCACTCAAAGTGTTTAAAAATGCCAGAATTAAAGTGTTTATGAAACTTTAATTCATACTAGGCCTGTCAAGCAATTAAAAAATGTAATTGCAATTAATAGTGTGACCTCCCCCTTTGAAATGCTGCTGCGGCGTTTCAACAGGGCAGTGCTACATGGAACCCAGGATCAGCTAGAGTCCCCAGCAGCCTCCAGGCTCCATGCAGCACTGCCCCTTTGAAGCGCCTCAGTGGTGCATCAAAGGGGCAGCGCAACATGGAGCCCAGGATCAGCTGGAATGCCCAGCTGATCCTGGACTCCGTATTGTGCTGCCCTTTGGAGAAACCGCCCCGGCGCCTCAAAGGGGCAGCACATTAGGAGCCCGGGATCAGCTAACCCCAGGCTCCATGGATGCCCCTTTGAAACACTGCTTTTGGCGTTTCAAGGAGGCAGCTGCTGTGGAGCCCGGGATCAGCGGGGGACTGCCCAGCTGATCCTGGGCTCAGCATGGCAGAAGAATCTGAGGTCAGCTGGGGATTCCCCACCTGACCCCAGGTTCTGAGGAAATGAACTGGGCTGTGCTGCTGCCGCCACTTTAAAATGCCACCTCCACGCGCGTTTCAAAGGGGCAGCCCTGGAGTCTGGGGTCAGCTGGGGAGTCCCCAGCTGATCCTGAGCTCTGCGCGGCATTTCCCCAGAACCTGGGGTCAGCTGAGGAGTCCACAGCTGAACCCAGGTTTCATGCAGCACTTCCCCGGATCCCAGGGTCAGCTGGGGACTCCCCAGCTGATCCTGGGTTCTGGGGAAATGCAGCACTGAGCCCGGGATCAGCTGGGGAGTTCCCAGCTGAGGCATTTCTAAGGGGCAGCCGCCGCACAGCTGATCCTCGGCTCAGCTGTGAGGTGGTTGCTCCTTTGAAATGCTGCCTCTGCGCATTTTGAAGGGGGAGAGGAATGTGGGGTCAACTGGGGAGTCCCCAGCAGAATCCAGGCTCTGCATTGCACTGCCCCTTTGAAGTGCTGCAGCGGCACTTCAAAAGGGCAGCGCAGCATTAACGCCTACAATTAATGATTAAAAAATTTATCGTGTTACTCCTGGATTGCCTTAACTGCAGGTGTTAATGCATGTCAATTGACAACCCTAATTCACACACATCCCTTGTGCATATAAAATACAATACATTTTTAAATTACACGATCACATACTATCCTCCCATACAGGAACCCTGTCTCACTCAGTAGACAGGATGGATGGCATTGTGTGGATAAATAAATCTGTGTAATCAAGAGCTCTGTTGTCTGTAAGAACCCAGCCTCATATGCACTCCAGAAGTTGGAAGACATGTAGTGAATGAGGCAGGGAACTGTAGGAAGAAAAAGGATGGTCTCACATGTAAAGAAGTTGAATGCAGACGTGAAGGACTGGATTCTATCCCTGCCTCCACCAAAGAGCTAAGCCAAGGCTACTCAACATGCGGCCTGTATGTTTGCGGCCCAAGGTGCGGTTTGGGTTTACCCAGGGCTCAACATGAAGCCCACAGGTGGATCCTTTGAACATCCTTCGTTGGGAACACGTTCCACAACGGCTAGTGAATATAATGGTCTTCTGTTGATATGCTTTTTAGTAGTTAAATTCCTGGACTGTCATTGCTCATTAGAAGTGCTGTCATATGGGTGGAAATATGGTAAATATTGAATTTTATTAATATCAGCAGAACGGATTTAAATGGGGCTGCGGGTTGTGTAGTCTTGCCTTAATCTTTGTATTCATGTCCGTCAGTGTTAAATAAGCTAGTTGCATATATATGCAACCGCACTTAAGTTGTGGCCTTCGGTATGTGCTGTGAGTATCATTGTGGCCCCCAGGGCTTCCAAAGTTGAATAGCCCTGAGCTAAGCACTCACAGCTGCAACCTAAGTAAATGGGAGCTGTGCTTTGAACGTAGTCAAGGCTAAGTAATAGTAAGTATTCTGAAAAATCAGACCCAAGATATATAAAATTAGGAACCCAGAATTAGTGGATACTTTTGATATTTATTTCTGTGCCTCTGCCCTATTTTACAGATGGACAGAATAGCCATTAACCTCATAAGGATGTTGTGAAAATTAATAAATTAATGTTTGTGATGTACTCTGATATCACAGTGAAGAACACCATAGAAAAGTCCATGAAGAAATCAATAATTCTGACATCAGAGCAGGATTTGAATAAAGCATAAGGCTACACCACTCAGGAGGGCAATGAGGAGAAAGCAAAATATTGCATAGGTAGCATTGTCCCATCCTGTCAATGAAGCAGGGATACTGTAGGGGATTATGCAATCATAAACTATTGTAATATATTTCTACAATGGGGCTAACTGCAGGTTGCACAGGCAGCTTCAATGCTGGCATTTCCTATCTTCTGAGTGTTTGACTTTACAATCTTAATAGTGTTATTTTATTATACTTTTGTGTGTTTGTAATTATAAACAATTCAAGCAAAACAAGCATGAGAACAATAAGAAAAATATCCACAATCTGTAACAACTAATCTTTCTATAAAATTAACTTTGGATTTTGCTATTTGTATCAACTCAATAGAAAAGTCAAAAGTCACTTTTCAAAGTAGTAAATGGAGTAATAAGAAGGTGCTGTAGAACCTGAAACTGATGTGACCAGGAAAAATTGGTGCTGAAGTTGAGAGAAGTAAGAATTTCACATTCTGCATGGCTCTAAGCAAACCACATGTGCAAAACAAAGCTTGTGGTTAAAAACCAAGCACAAAAACAAAGACAAAACTAAAGACAACACATGGAATTAGAGAGATAATACCAAAAGCTATTTTGAAGCAATTGGGGAATCTTGATCACCTGTATCTTGAAAGGTCTATGCCAAACTACCACACCATTGTGGAAATAACTCAAAACATTAAGGAAAATCAAGAGTCTAACACACCTAATAAATTGGGAAAAGAATGACCAAAAAAAAGTCAAATGGTTTAAGATGATAAAATCCAGAGAGATGGAAACTTAAAGTGGAGAAGTCTATATTGAAGACATGGCTATAACTGCGAATACCTTGGCGTATAATAAGAATAGTATTGACTAGATATTTTCTTTTAAAAGTTTTAATACCAGTATTCCTTATTTATGGACCAACATATATTTATATTTCATTCACAAAATTTCATGTATTCAAGACAAGCTGTGTATAACTTGTATTTACTAAAAACAACATGTGTAATAGAAGGAATCAAAACAGAAAGCTGAGGGAGGTAGATATGGAAGATAACTAATTTCAGAAATTAAGATTCTAAATTAAAAAGACAAATTAAGAGTGTGACAATACACAAATATAATGAGAAAATGCTCACTGTTTAGGGACGAGATCAAATCTCATCCTGTTCAGAAGGACATCTTCCTGTAACATTACCATAGCGACAGGATACATCTGGTCAAAGTCAAAGTTAAACTGAACACCTGCTGGGGGGTCACGCAGAAAATTTCTCTTGTCCTTTGAAGAACATATTATAGTTATTATAACGGACATTAGAGGAATCATATCACATTTGACATACAAGATCAGTAACGCATCTTAATCCCTACATGTTTTTTTACCATCACAGCCATGTAATTTTCTATTAAAGACAAAAGTGTACATAAGAGGATACATTTTTGCATCTTTGTTTTGGTCCAGAAGCAATTGCTTCAGGCATGTGACTGGTAACCAGAAAAACACTATATATGTATCTAAATTTTGTATGCATATCCACAATGTAGTCTAATTTTTTGATAAGCGATTAAGTTATTGAAGATATATGTTTTAATCAAAATGAAGGACAGCTTTAAATAACAAACAAGAAACTTACTGCTGATAAGGCCAAGATTTGTTGTTGAATGGTTTCTTCTTCATTGCTATCTACCCAAGGAGGCACTGCTGCTTCTGTCATTAAAAAAGGGAAACGTAATTCAAGCTTTATTATATTTAAATACAAAAATATTTCTATTAAGACAGAGCAACACAGAAGTCCAGAAAGACAGCTGAGTCCCTGGGTATCCTATGTCTCTGTCATGCATTTGAAAAATTAAATGAAAGCAGACATCCTTAAAACAGGTTGTTTCAGAACTGTGCTCACTAGGGCTTAATTACATTTCTGTTTGCTTTACAACTGATCTGAAGGTACATGAGATGAGTTATGGGAATCAGCCTTTGTTTATTAGAGCTGGTCAAAAATAATAAAAACAAAGAATTTAGTCATTTTCAATTAACATTTTATTACTTTTTCCACTATGTTCTGAACAGGACTATTGCATATAGCTCACTCAGTGTAACAGTGTGGTGCATAACTGGCAGAACTGAACAAGTCTTTTGGATAAAATAAGTTTTTTTTCAGTTTCTCATTAGAGACTTATCCTTCAGAAACATATTGTACAACCTGTTCACTGTTGGAAAATAATTCAAGTAAAATTATATAACAATACTCATTGTAAAATATATGTTATAAGATTAATTTGACAAAACATTTTAGTAGGGAATAAAAAGACTACTGTCTAAATATAAATGGTTATGGATTAAAGTTCATAAATACAAAACATGCTGATGAACTTTAACAGTAACCCATATTTCTGGGGGAGGTGGAATAATGTATAAATTAATTTTCAAAAACCCAACCTTCACTTTTTTTTTTTTAACAGTACGAGGATACAAAAAATTAGATTCACCATAATAAGAGGGTGTGTTTAATAACGCGTAATGCCAATTTACAGATTTACCATAAAATGTTCAGAGAAGTTCAAAGGGTAGTCCAAAAGTAAGTTTGGGGAGGATTCTCTTTATTACTGAGACAAAGCAAAAATTAAATTGCTAGGTGTGAATGTAAATGCATACGTAAATATGGAGTCACTGTGTGCCTTCATGGCATCTAAAAATACATATTAAAAACTGCAAATCATATGACAAAGTTCAGTATGATTCATTTGAATCCAGCACCATATTCAAGGTTAAAAAGAGATCAATGTCAAACTGCAATACACTTTTTTATCCTGCAATACTTCAAAAAGGTATAAACAACGTAGGCACAAATTCTGCCTGCTTCAAATAAGCACAACCATTGATCTCACTCTTTAATAGGCAGCAGGTTTAGAACAAACATAAGGAAGTCATTCACACAAGGCACAACCAATGTGTGGAATTCGTTGCCATGCGAGATTGTAAAGATCAAAAGTAATAACTATGCAAAAAAAGAATTCCATAAGCTCATAGAGGATTTAGCCAAGATGGATGCAATGTCTTGCTTTGGGTGTCCCTAAATTTTACAGAATTTCCGTGGGTCACTTTTTCCTGTCAGAAGGATTAGGATTAATATCTACCGAGACCAAACTGAATTACCGTATTTTCCGGCGTATAAGACTACTTTTGATGGTAAAAAACATCCCCCAAAAATCGGGGGTCGTCTTATACGCTAGGTATACAGGCGGCGGGGCAGCCCAGGCGCGCCTGGGATGTATACCCGGTGTACAAGACGAACCCCGATTTTTTGGGGATGTTTTTTAACATCAGAGGGCGGCTTTTA